CTCACTCACACTCACACACACTCACACTCACACACACACTCACTCTCACACACACACACACACACACACACACACTGACACCAACACTCACTCACACTAACAGTAACTCACACTAAGTCACTCACACTCACACTCACACACACACACACACTAACACTCACACACACTAACACACACTAACACTCACTCACTGACACTCACATGCACACTCACACATACTCACACATACTCCCATTAACACACACTCACACTAACACTCAACACACACTCACTAACATGCACACACACACACACACACACACACACTAACCCTCACTCACACTAACACTCACTCACACCACCAAACACACACACACACACACTAACTGACACCAACACTCACGCACACTAACAGTAACTCACACTAAGTCACTCACACTCACACACACTAACACACACTAACACTCACTCACACTCACTAACACTCACGCGTGCACACACACACACACACACACTCACACTAACACTCACTCACACTCACTAACACTCACGCGCGCACACACACACACACACACTCACTCTCTCACACACACACACACACTAACCCTCACTCACACTAACACTCACTCACACTCACTAACACTCACGCGCGCACACACACACACACACACTCACTCTCTCACACACACACACACACTAACCCTCACTCACACTAACACTCACTCACACTCACTAACACTCACGCGCGCACACACACACACACACACTCACTCTCTCACACACACACACACACTAACCCTCACTCACACTAACACTCACTCACACTCACTAACACTCACGCGCGCACACACACACACACACACTCACTCTCTCACACACACACACACACTAACCCTCACTCACACTAACACTCACTCACACTCACTAACACTCACGCGCGCACACACACACACACACACTCACTCTCTCACACACACACACACACTAACCCTCACTCACACTAACACTCACTCACACTCACTAACACTCACGCGCGCACACACACACACACACACTCACTCTCTCACACACACACACACACTAACCCTCACTCACACTAACACTCACTCACACTCACTAACACTCACGCGCGCACACACACACACACACACACACACTAACTGACACCAACACTCACGCACACTAACAGTAACTCACACTAAGTCACTCACACTCACACACACATACTCCCTCTAACACACACTCACACTAACACTCAACACACACTCACACTCATACAACACACACACGCACACACTAACACTCACTCACACTCACACAACACACACACACGCACACACACACACACTAACACTCACTCACACTAACAGTCACTCACACTAACACTCACTCACACTAACACACACACACACACTAACACTCATTCACACCAACGCTCACTCACACTCACACTAACACTCACTCACACAACACACACACGCACACACACACTAACAGTCACTCACACTCACTAACACTTACACACACACACTAACACTCACTCACACTAACAGTCACTCACACTAACACACACACACTAACACTCACACACACACTAACACTCACTCACACACACACACACACACACACTCACTCACTCTCTCACACACACACACACACACACACACACACACACGCACTTACACACACTCACACTTACACACACTCACACTAACCCCCCCCACACACACACACACAAACACCAACACTCACTCACACACACTAACAATCATTCACACCAACACTCACTCACACTAAGTCACTCACACTCACACACCCTAACACTCACTCACACACACACACACACACACACACACACACACACACACACACACACACACACACAC